CGTGGCCACCGGTGGTGCAGCGCAGCTTTGAGCTACTTGCGAGCCAAAAGCTGACGCCTAGGCCGGATGCCATGGTCAGAAAGATCGCCAGCCCTTGATCGGAATTCAAGACAACCATGGTATCAGCGAGGTTTCATGTTGGGAGAACCATAGGGTGCCTGGGGCAGCAGAGTTCGCCCGCACCGTCATACAGACCAGAGGGCTCGTGGAGCGACCCTTGCGCTGCATGAGGATGACACAGAACGCGCGCACCTTGTGTCGTAGGGAGGCTACGGTCAGTGCGTGTGTGATGCGCTGGCACACCGTAACCAATGAGGCTATTTGGCTCACCATTTGCATTATCACGTGTGCAACTCGACCTGTGGGCATTAGATTTTCTTGCGGCCAACGCGCACATGGCCAGACACCAGAAGTCGAAGAGGGGAGTTTTGATCATAGCGCAGAATGAATCTGGCTGGCAAGGCTGCCACTGTTCAAAATTGCACACCACGCCAACAACAATCGCCATCACTCGGACTACCTAGTTTTCAAGCTTCACGGCAAGTAATCATCCCCGACTTTGAGCGCTTGGAGATGGCGCTGTCGGAATCCTAATTTGAACATCGTAGGACTTGCAGACTGTTGGCGGAAGCCAGACGGCTGTCTGAAACAGCCGCGCGTCATCAACACCAACAGCTGTTTGCCTTCAGTGGTATACCTAACATGGCAAGCCTCAGCTGTGCAATGAAGAGCCCGCTTGGGCGGGGGGGTGTCTTTTTTCCCGAGTGGACACTCAGCCTTTAATTTGAATATTTTTTCGTCCCCCCCCTTTTCCGTTTGTTTTTGTTCTGCCCAATTTGTTCAGGTTTCTTCCGAATGTCTTCCCATTCAGTTTTCTTCCACACGTTCTCCCCCTCTTTTCTCGTCTTGTGCCGCATCACGCGCCTCAGTCGTGCTACCAATTTGCACATGTTCTTCACATCTTGTTTTGGCAGTTTGATGTCTCGGTTGGAGTTGACAACCCACGGACAATGGGCACCTGATGTCATGAGCCGGCATTGGAAAACATTCAACAGAAGTTCTGCCACATATGGGCCGAATGTATGCACAGCTTGCCCTTTGTTGGCAGACTTTTGCTCTGACCGTTTTCCGTTGTAATTGTAAACGCTTCGCGTTGCCCGCCTCGGCCCAGCCTAGTTTGAGGGAAGGGTCAGGAACACCGAAATCCAGTGTTGGGAAGGTCCGAATCCTACTGAAAGCTTGTGACCGCACCAGTTCGCCCGTGCTAGTTCGATGTTCGGAAGCCGTCCTGCTCGGAAGGTTTGAAATCCAAAACCAAGACTATCTCAGCTGCTCAGTGCCCTCGGAAAAAAAAGGACCTCTTTCTGGGGATGAGCATTTTTAGTGGGGCTTGGCCTCCATAAAAAGGGGAACAATAATTGCCTCCATTTCACGTGGCTGGCGGCTTGCCATGACATACATTTCTTGCTCGGTTGCTCAGCCCAAGACAGGTACATGGTGGGAATACAAACCTCCATTTGCTTAAGTACCCCGGAAAAATATCCCCAATAGACACGCCAGCAGGCGGGCTGAGGGACTGGGCCTGAGGCTAGTCTCAGGCTGGTATACCTTGAGACGCCGAAGGGGCTGGGCCTGCTGACTTGGGGCCAGACACCAGCAGGAGGTCAAGGCCTGGTCAGCCTGGGCTGAGCTGCTTGGGCAGCCGGACTGGGGGGCTGGGGCACGCTGGGCTGAGCCTGGTGGGCCTAGTGGCTGGCATGCCCTCAGATGCGCCGGGGTCTCGGCTGGGCAGGCTGGGCTGCTGGTTGGGCTGGGCCTGAAGCTAGTCGCAGCCACGAGGCTGCGAAGCCAGACGCGAGCAGGAGGTCGGCCTGGGCTGAGCTGCTTAGCCGGACTGAGGGGGTGGGGCACGTCAGACAGGCTTAGAAGCTGCGTAGCTTGAGACCAGTCTCAGACACGTGAGACTGGTCGTTGGCCTGAGGCCAGTCTCAGACACGTTAGACAAACCGACCTTGGCAGGGCTGAGCTGGGAGCTGGGGGCCGGCCTAGCTTGGGCCTGAGGCTGGGTGGGCTGGGCTGACAGGCCTGGCCAGCAGGCGGGTTGCTGGTTGGGCTGGGCCTGAGCCTAGTCTCAGACACGTCAGACAGGCCTAACCAGGAGATCATGCTTTTCAGGCAAAAAAGGAATTTGTCAGCACATTTTCGACAAAAATGGACCCATGGAGCTGGGCGCCGACGAACCCCGAAAATTTCAAGGCCCGCCGGACAGGATTTTGGGCCAGCCGACATGGGTGGGGGGGGGTGGGGGCGGCCCGGCAAAATTTTGGTTGGGGAGGGGGTTGGGGGAGGGGAAAAGCGAAGATTCTCTTTGGAGAAGAGATCTGAGCGCCCTTGGCCCCTTTGGGGCCGAGGCGAATTTGACAAGTCCTACCCTAGTTTGACACGTTCTATCATCATGCAACTGACATCATTTTCGACTTGCTGGATAGATGAGAAGCGACGGCTTGCCAAGTTTGAACAGCAGGCGCAATGTTCCCAAGCGAGCCCCCTCGCTGCAAAACAAACAACAAATTCGAGAGCCACTCGAAGCTTCAAGATCGGGATCGAAGATCAACATCCAGCCCGCCAGCCCGGCAAGATGCACCTCCCTTGCAGGGAGAAGGGCTACGCGCAAGCGTTGCTGAACACCTTTCAGGCAGGTTACCTGCCAGCCAACTGTCATTGCAGTGCCGAGCAAGCAGGTAATTCAGAGACTGAAGTGCAGTCAATGTTGAATGGATCTTTTCTGGCTGAAGTATGGTGAAGGACTGCAGAGGTTTGGGAGACAACACGAGTGCATTGAGCCGCATGTTCGAACAACAGTCGCGTGGTTGCAATTTGTTTCGCTCTGCGTGAGAAATACGTCATCGAGAACAACGTGGACCTCACAAATCCCATGATCCCACAGGAGGTTCAACCGCCCGGGGCTCTGATCAAGTTGCATACAGATGCATCTGATATCACCACGTGGCCAAGGTCTTCGTTGGCCAAGGGCCAAGGTTGTTATGGTAGCACATGGTAGCACATGGTAGCAGCTTATGTTGGAGGGAGTGAGGCAGAGGTGTTCGTTTGCAGCCATCTCAATAAAAAGTACACTTGATCCCCAGTCCATTAGACGCTGAGGAGGTTCTGCAACGCCATGCCATGAAGGCATTATGGGCTTTTGCCAAGCAGCTGTTGCAGCAGAAGCCACAGTTTCTAACAAGGCAGACAAGTTATTAACGGCTGACGTTGGGAAGCAGGCCAGTTTCTGGTTTGTTTATTTGGCCCCCTTCCCCCAAAGTGCTTCTCGCAGCATGTCCCCAAGGCTTTGGGATTTGCTCGTGGTGGATAGCAGCAACAAGAGCAGTCGGGTCTTTGCAGCGCCGCAAGAAGTCTTGCAGCAGCCGACAAATGCGACTCAAAGGCCGGGATGGGTTGGCGAGCGTGGGAATATTTAGATGACATGTTTGCAGTTTTGGAGTGCTGAGGCGTGTCAAATGACAGGAAAGCTTTCAGGCCCCGGGAGGCTGCTTTGTTTTCTCGTGGCGGCTACAGTGATTCAGCTTTGAATGCTTGAGCAAACAACGCAGAGTTGCGGAGCCTTGCTGTACAAGAACAGCTTCCGGGTGTTGTTGTTCCTTCCTTTCTTGCCGATGAGGGTCACCATAGAAGATGGAAATGCCAAAAGCACCAAGAACGAGCAACAGCACGGTCGAGAATTGCCAATACCGAGTTGCCTTTGATAGGGTGATGTTTGAACCCCTTCAAGGAGGCAAATAAGGAGCGCCGTCTTTCAGAAAGCCAGGACAGTGGTAAACAGTCACTAAAGTTCAAGCCCGCGGAATCCATCCATCTTCAACCGAACTCACCTACAGGGACACCGAATGTGCTTGGGCGGTTGTGGTTCCCCTCTGGCCTCCCTGGGTCCCAAGAAAACATTTTGAGGTCTGGTGGCAATATCTCTTTAAACTTAGAGGGTAAGCTTATTTCGGAGCCAGCTCCCCCCTTTTCCCGGTCACCCTCCCGCGTACCGTGGACCCGCGTCCATGCCATCCCCCAGTTCAAGCACAATCCAGCCATACACCCACGTTGAAACTTTTTCTCTGGGTTTCGTTTTGGGTTGGAAGGCCCAAGAGCTGCAGCTGCCGGCACATCGAGCTCGCCACCGCCGCCGCCTTGAGCGACCGCATGGCCAAGCTGGGCTTCGACGCCTCCCGTGCCGCGACCCCGAACTGAGCACCGGCGGACTGACTGGCGCCTTCACGTGGCTTGCGGCTTCCCTTTCTCCACTTCCGGTTTACAACCAAACCCTGAAATTGACTCCTCCTGCCATTTCTGGATGTCCTATTGCCCCTTCAAAGTGAAGGAAGTCCTCTAGAATGGGACCCCCTCCCTTTCAATCACAGCCGCAGGCTTTTGTTCAACAATCCTTTGTGGATGAATATGGGGGTGGTTCCTCAAACAGTTGTTCACTGGCACCCTCTGAATCCCTTTCTGTTTGATGGGTCCCCCACAAAGAAACAAGTCAACCTGGACAAATGTTCCGGAGGGAAGAATCCGTCTCAACGTTTGGGTCATCTCCCTTCGCTCCCACGAGAAGCGATTAGATTTCGCCTAGAGCGGGACACCCCCTTTTTTCCAAGAAGGGAGACACGACACAACAGAGAAAGGCTGGCGCAACCCAAGTGCACAGTGCAGTTTGATTGTGGAGGCGAAGGTTTCGTCGGGCTATTGCGAAAGGTTTCGTTGGGGTGGTGTGGTGGCGCTCTCTCACAACCTTGTGTCAGAGTTGGGTGTTGCAAGCTGCCCTTTGGCGTTTCATTCTCATCAGGTGCGGAAAACAACTGGGCGCCTTGCCTGCATTGGCCGTTGGTGGCGAGACATGCTCAGCAAGCCTCGGGCCAAAAAGACCAAAGGTCACCAAGCTAAAGCTCGAGGGGCTCAAGAAAGCGAGTCAGCAGATTCCTTGCTGCGCTGGTCTGTGCTCGAAGGTTTGGGAGGCAACCGACCTGGGCAAGATGATGAATTTATTCACCCTCACAGAGGACGAGTTTGTGTGATACCAAAAGGAATCCGCGCAAAGTGATAATTTAGTCATGGGCCGTGGGAATCAACCACAGAGGGATAATATGCTATCCATAACCGTGCAGAGGACGTCTCAGATTGCAGATGTGCGTGTGCTCCAAAAAACCAGCCCTGCATGAAAGCTAAATTGATCAGTTTTTTTGCGCCGCTCCTGCTGTGTAGGAGGGCTTGGAAGATCCCAACTTGAGCTTCCTCTACTTGCTCCAAGAGGCGGCGTGCATGCCAAGACGTGGTAATGGACGCGCCATTCTGTGCCAACAGGTGTGCGCTTGTTGAAGCCACTACAAACAAGCGAACCAACAAGTGACCCTGACACGTTCAGCTGAGGTATTCTAATGTTCAATGTTGGGTTTGGAAATGCTCCTCACAGGTGCTCGTGACATGTGCTTGAAGTCGACAGACCCACCTTTTGCTGCACTCCATGGATGCGTAGTGCGAGACAGGCAAACCACTTGACGGCTACACCTGTGGATCAGAACGGCGGCATAGTGGGCGATGAAGCCAGGGCCCGGTCCGTGGTGAAAGGCGCGCGCCTGTTTGCGTGTGTGTCTGTGTGGGTGTATCCACTTAAGTAAGTGTGTGTGTGCGTGTGTGTGATTGTGTGTGATTGTGTTGTTTGTTTGCTTGCTTGCTTGCTTGCTTGCTTGCTTGCTTGCTTGCTTGCTTGCTTGCTTGCTTGCTTGCTTGCTTCTTTCTTTCTTTCTTTCTTTCTTTCTTTATGTATTTTTTTATTTCTTTATTTCTTTGTGTGTGTGGTGTGTCGTGTGTGTGTTGTGGGTGGGTGCTTGCATGTGGTGCACGCAGCGCTTGGCCACGCGTAGCCAATCCCCGGAGCCGGGGGGCGGGTCACGGCAACGCGCTGGGCTTCCCTGGCAGGTATCCTCGTGGGAATGCCAATGCCAGTGACTCAGCATGTGAGCCACTGAACCCGCGGCATGGCCGTGTGGGTTTTGAGGCTCGGTACAACTCGGTACCCTTTGCAGATTGGTTTAAAGGGAGAACGACACCATTCCAGTCCCCCTATTTTCATAAACCCGCATCCATCACTCAATCTTGAGGCCTTTAAGACAAGCTATTGCCCGCGGCATGAGAAGCTGAAGAGACCAGGAACACCAACAGGTCCGTCAGGTGGACTGAAGCCTGAGATAGTGCATTCCGAATCGGGAGAAGTGACACACATGCAGCCTATAGGCACATCCATGTGCCCAATGAATTTGTATCCTATGAATTGCTATCTGCGATCTGTGTTTTCTCAGAATATTCGGTGGAATCAAGCTCGGTTGGAATGCTAAGCATGCTAGGATTTGATGGATACCACAAGTATGTTGAACCAGAGGTTGTGTGGCGACAACATGGGCAACAATCGATCCTCGGGTGAGATCAGATAGGTGGGCAAACATTGCACTCGGCAGCGATTACTCTTTGCCAGCAAGCAGACAAGCATTTGACATTTTGCAGCTGTTCGGATCGGGACTTGGCAAGTCCAAGTGGGTTGCAACTCACAGGTGGTATTGTCGGCCTGCCCACCTTTCAGGCTTCAGAACTACCTGGCCCATTTGGTGCAAGCCCCAGCCTGCGCTTAGTCCGGCTGTGGGGCATGATTCTTTACATGCGAGTGCAGACTTCTGCCCTTGCATGAAGCCTGAAAACACGCGCGCGCGCGCTTACACCCGCATCCTGACGTCTGTGACTGCCCCTTCAGGCTTTCTAGATCTTTCTAGCATGCACGCGTTCCATCAGTTATTTTTTTCAACATAGTTTGAGTTTTGGTGCGTAGCAGTCAGCATGCGGGTGCTACTGGTGCATAGATTTGAGTACTGGCAGAACTCAGGGTAGCTTGGCTTGCTGACATGGCCTTGCCTTTTGCCTATGATTAGCTTTTGCTATTGATTATGCATGCTGCCAGTCTCCAGTGTCAATTACGATGCGATTGGTCGATGCCTCGATCCGAAGACGCTGCTGGTGCTGCTGCTGCTGCTGCTGCTGCTGCTGCTGCTGCTGCTGCTGCTGCTGCTGCTGCTGCTGCTGCTGCTGCTGCTGCTTCTGCTGCTGCTGCTGCAAGAAAAACTCTTGCATTGATATATTCTTGCCATGCATGGTACTGCTGTGTTTTGTGTTAATCATGGGAAATGACAAGAGGGTAACGGTAACGCAAAGACGAGACACATATGTCAGTTCGCAGAGCTTTGTAGACACCCCACTCAGAACCTTTGCTACCGTCGCAAGAACCCTGCGGTTTGTGCAATAGCATCCTTCACAAACATCATGTTCCATCTACGTATATAACTTATATAACCCCTTGGCCGTTCGTACTAACTCGTATTGGCTTCGCTAAAGTCCGTGGCACCTTCAGTCGCTCTGATAAGTTTGCTAAAGGGCCGCCAGTTGCTCTTGCATTTCCCTTTAGTTGATCCATGCGAGGACACACATACACACACATTGCTCATCCAGTACGCACACACACACACACGCATTGCTCATCCAACATTGCTCATCCAGCACGCATCCGCTCAGCGATTTGCAACAAAAGCTGTTCATGCTGACAACGGTCGCTTTGCACATGGTTTCAGTTGCAGGATGACAGTGTCAACACCCTGGAACATAGCTCAAGTAGGCAGAAGGTTATGGTTGCCTCGTATGTCGGGGTCTTATGGTGATCAGGGCTGGGGTTGCAACGCACCAGAACTGATCAGGGACCTCCAGAGGTTGCGGTGACCCGTTGTGGGGCTTCCGATGATTCTCTGACTCTAAGTGTAAGCTTGCTTGCTTTGCTGGTTGATACGAGTGAATTGAAGAATCAGGATCAGTCTACACAGGTGTCGACGGTACCACATCCCGAGTTGCCGCATGCATGATGCCTATTGATGCCTCAGTGGAAGACAGCCGAACGTATCCCAGGACATTAAGAATGGTGGACCCGAGCGCATCAAGACAGCGTATGCCTTGAAAGAGAAGTGGCTCCTGAGCTGGCTATCATTGCTGAGCTTGATGTTGCTATGCGGACGCCCAGTGTGGCAAGCGTCAAGTACGGAGTTCCGACTAAGCCCAGCTGAGGTTTTTGTTCCTGAACATCGCATGGGCTGTGTGGCATGCCAGGTGCTCAGATCTATGTCCAAACAACCAAAGGCGTATCAACTCGCAATCTGTGAGCCCCAAGTCGTCTCAGGAGAATGACGATGTCGGCCAACAGATCTTTTGGCGCGTGAGCAAGGAGGCACGCCAGCAGAATGTGGCTTTGGGTCTTCTGGTCTCAGCCTTCTCCGTGCTCAGCGAATTCAGCCACTCGGCGCTTCGAGGTGCGTTTTGTGCCCTGAGTGCCACGACAAAGCAGCGCACTTGAGCCCTCCTTGGAGGTTTCCCTTGGGAATCCTTTGAACAGTAACAGGATGCTGAAGTGTGATACATGGAAATACATGCACAGCAGCACATACAGAAGCACTGTGCTGCAACTACTTCCTCGAGCAGCTGTCATAGGCACCATTCTGTCTCCGCCAAAATCACTGTACATGCTCACACGGATAGCAAATATGATCACCCTTTGCTCTGGAGGTTCTTTACATGCCGTGGTTGAGTTTGGGTGCTGACTGCAAGTGAGTATGCCGTCCTCTTTTCTATTCAAGCCATGCCACGAATTGCCAACACTATAACCCTGCTTGCTAAACGCATAGTGGAACAGTTCAGCCCAATGCTGTACCGGCCCATTTTCTCCAGCTTGCTATGGCTCATACGGGCGAAGTCAACCTGTCTACTTGATATCTTATACTTCAGAGTGTTTTTGGAAGCATGCAGCAGTGATTGTTGAAAGCGCATGCTGGCCTGCTAGCTGATGATGCCAGAAGTGCTGGCGACGCTCAATTGACTCAATGATGTTTGCATTCTAGCATGCTTACTCGTGTATTTTTCTTGCAGGTGTGTTTGGATGAGCTTGAAAATCCTCATTGATTCTTCAAGCAAGTTCTACCGGCACACCATGGCACAGCTTGATGAACGCCAGCAAAGTCCAGTCTGCGGAGGCTACACCAACTTGTGAGTAAGACAATCAAGCCCATGAGCTTGTGCTTGACAGGATGTAGCATCTTGCAATCAGGATCAGAACTTGTACAATGTACTTCCCCGCAAATGAACATGGAACCCAAGAAGGGAATTCCATGAGGGGATATTCCTCCAAAGTTACAAGTGCTTGCCCATGTCAATCTGCCAGTGCGTAAAGGCTGGGACGGAGTCAACTTCAAGGAGGAGAATTCACCGGCGTTCAATGACTTCAACGTGGCTTTGTACACCATTTGGACTCTCAGTAGCAATGAGTGAGAAAAATCGCTTTCCCCTAACAATGGAACAATGGATGCCCCCCCAACAAGCCTGGGTGGAGCACAATTTGTTGATAGGGTGCGTTAGGGTACCAGTCGGGCTTCGCAAAGGTCGTCCCCTGTTTCCTGGCCCAAATATTGATCAAATTGCAATTTCCGGGTAAGGGATTGAAACAGCAGACATGTATGTCATATTTGGGATTGGTTCTGGGTGCGACTTGGTTCAAATTTGGTTTAGGGTTGGTTTAGTATTGGTTCTAAAGTGTGTCCTAAGACGGTTGGAGTTGGGGTAAGCGGGAGATTGCTGTTTTAGAGTTGGTTTAGTATTGGCCATCTCAACTTGGTATTGGGAGAATTTGGGGTCGGGCAAAAGTCTTATTTATTTAGGGTGCGTTTATTAATAGGGGGAGGGGATTACATCGGCGTCTTTTAGTCTGACTTGAACAAAGCTGAGTTGCTGTGTTCATGAGCGCAGTCAGCCAGAATCTGGCTTGTACCCTTTTGGAAAGAACGCTAGTGGAAATCATTTTGACGGCAGTTTGTGTGATCTTTGCTTGTGTGACAGTCTTGCCGGGCATGTTTTGGCCGTTCTGCCGGTTTTTTGTTTCCTTTGCAAAGCCGAGGAATTACAAGTTTGTGCACTCCCTCTTTGAGCCCCGGCGCTTGCAGTTTCACTTCTGGCATGGCCTGGGACTCCCGCTCTTGGAGGCCGGGATACCAAGTGTCCATATCCGCCGCAGCCTGTGGCATCACCAAGATCCTTTGTCGAGTTCAATTTTGGCGGAGAATAGTGTGCAAGCTGCTTGCGTGGTTTGCTTTCGAAGGATGTGATACAACAGCGCATCCGGCCGCTTCGGTGTTCGGTGTGGGTGTTTGTGGGGAACCCCCCTTCAGTTTGGTTTTAACGGAGACCAAGAGGAAAGTCGAAGCCTATTTTCGAGGTTCGACTTTGACGCATCACACTGCATTGAATGCGAGGCCTTTGGCAACCAGGGCGACTCCGCATACTGGGTGAACTATCGCCGGGATGGTCTCATGGCAGCGATGATGAATCTGGCACCGCAGCCACAGGCACGTTTCAGCTGGGTCGGTGAATAGGTTGTCGTTTGGGCTTAGGATCATAGGTGTGACCCAGGAGAATAGGGTCCTTTTTTTTGCGTGCCATGTAAAAGTCTGCCAGTTTGATTCATCCGGAATCAACATCGCAGGTCCAGCCTTGCACCACTGTCCCCGTGTAGCCTTTGGCTTGCTCCCACATGTGGAAACTTGGGTTTGAGTAAAGTGAGGAAGTTTCCGTTGAAGTGATAGAGTAGTAGTCAAGCAAAGCGCCCGTCGGGTTTCTCGATCCTCGTCAAGCCTCCGTTTGTCACTATTCTTAGCACGCAATGAATGTGGCTGACAAAGTGCCATTTGCCAAATGTTTGAGGGCATCTTGGTAACTTCACCGAGCTTCCCGCGTATTGCACATCGGGTGCGTTCGAGCGATTTCTGAACTCTGAACGCAGGACGCGGAAGAATGAGGCTCCCGGGGCTGCCGATTTGCTTCTGAGCTTTGGCCTTGGCGTTTTAATTTTAATCACTCTCGGCACAGGTTTCGAGATGTTCAATGCCCTAATGCCGGACATCGCTTATATCATGGAGTAGAAAAGTGGAGCGCCCAAAATGATTGATGCCGGCGCGTTTGCAGTTGCCATCCAGGTGGTTGCTGTGGACGACGCTGAAGCAAGGGCAGGATTTTGTGACAGGGCGGCCAAAAGATGCATGCCACAAAAAGGTAAGATGAAGGTTGCTGGGATCTTGTTTCGGTTTGGTAGATTCACACACAACTCAGATAAGATGTGTGTCAACTTCATAGATGACTGCTGAATGGAAGGATGTAAATTTCGCTCAAATGAAGACTCGTCAAGCTTGACTGCTTGGTGCCCGGTCAACTCAAAATGGGGGTAAACCAGGGCCAGCCTTTGCGGATCATCCGATTCATTGCAATCCTTTGGAGGTTGAATGGTTGACTTTGAACCAGTGGTGTCCTCAAAGATCTAGGGTGTCTACCCACCTTGCTGCTTCCTCTAAAGATACACCCAAATGGGTCCAAAAGGCTGTCATTGCTCGTGGCGCAGGGCCCGGCAAGCTCGCCAAGGCTCGGGGACTCGCCCGGAATTGCAAGTTTCATTGGGCAATTTCAAAATTTGCTGCATTGTTCATTATCCTTCTGCCAGATGTGGTTTCCCTTGTTGAGCTGGGTCCCACTACGGGTTATGGATGAGGATTCGGAAAAGCCCCCTCCGTTTCCAACATCTCAGCCCAGAATTCGCGCTCATTTGAGAAATATACACTTGACGAGGTGCTGCTGCTTGTAGTAGGTGCAGAAGCATCAGGTCTGACAAGTAGGTTTGTTTGCGCGGAGACCTGATGCACGAAACCGGAAGCTGATCAGATGTGCAAGGCACGCTGATTGGAGCGCAGCAAGGGTTTTCACCAAGTCAATCCCCGCAAGAAAGAAGCTCGCAGGCCATCTTATGCCCACAGCACTATCGAGTTTGTTCTGTCAGAATTTGTGGCTGGACTATTGCCCATAGTACTTAAGCAGCATTTCTCTATACCTGATGGCAATAATTTGATGACACGGACAAATTCAAGACACACTCAACGTCACTAGTTCTGTATCAGTTGTGTGTGAAGCCAGTTTGAGCAGAGGAGTGCAGATGGCAACCACACAGGTATTGCATTGCTTTAAGCCTGCTGCAGCTGAATGATTGCTGGGGATAGTGTCAAGCATGTTTTCGTGCAGTATAGAATAGGTGTGCTTGAAATCACTGGTAAATCGTGGCTTTGTGTTTGGATTGTTTTGAAAGCAACCACAAGAGTGCGCCTTTAAGAACAGCCCCCCACCAATATAGACATATATATATATATATGTATGTATATAGTATAAACAGGCCCTGCGGGGGCGGGGGGGGGTGAGCATATACATACATACATGTCTTTTATAGTCACCGTGTGTCTTCGGGCTTCATTTTCCTGCCTGCAGGATTGCTGGCGGTGGCGGCGATGTGTTGCACTCAGCAGACTTCTTTAGCAGAGCTTGCGGATCGCACAGCTCGCTCCACTGCATTGTTCCCTCAGGAAGGATCCTCTTTCGTAAGCCATACCTTGGGCATGCCGAGCCTGAGCCTCCAACAGAGCAAGCCATGCAGGTGTTTAGACAGTTGGCATTGTTGTTTGCAGTTTGCGTCCCTTTCCCGGGCAGCAATGTCCTTGTGCCAGAAAGGTGGGTTTTGTGCATACCCTCATCCCCCGATGCGAGCATTTCCCCAGCGTGGCTTTCTCAAGGCGGGTGCCGGAGCTGGAAGAGAATCTTGCAGTGGCCTTAGAGTCGCTGAGGACGCAAAACTGGGCCAGCAATCTCTTCTCCATATTATTAAGTGCAACCCATTAATAGATGGTAGAAGGTAGGTTGGGCTGGAAAGCCCAAGGATGAACTTTCATGTCGGGCAAACCTTCCAAAGCTCGTCACACGACTCTGGCACGAAATGGGACAGTGTATCACTGCATGACAGCTGACCCGACAGAATTCGAGGGCCGCAGCTCTTGGGGAATGGGTTTGTTCACGAAACGATTGCAGGACATATCACGAAAGCTATTCGGGAGTTCTCTAAGTTTTAGCTTCTTTTAGGGGCTGAGCTTCAAAGCCTGAATCGCATGAACAGATCTTGACCTGCAGGACCCCATTCTTAATGTCTTGGCATCCCCTGAGTGGTACATATCCTTGTTGGGCTGGCTGGCTTTCGATCACTCGCCTCTCGAGTTGTACAATGTCTGTTGTTCCGCATGTGACAAAGGCATTGCACGGTACAGAGCTGGCAGACTGGATGTGTTTAGATGTTGTTGTTTGAGTGTTTCTTCCCTTGCCGTGCCTGTTGGGAGGAGGGCCGAGTGTAAGAGCTGTGTGCTTCCGATTTGCCCTGCGAGGTCCTTCTCCAGTCTGGGGCCCTAGTGAAGAGGGATCGGATGGACGAGAACTGCCTGTAGTACCTTCCCATCCACTAGGTAAATTGTCTTCCAGAATCCCTCAATCAAGTTTCCTGTCAGTTGATTGGTGATGTGAGGTTTTGTAGGCTTGTGGACTTTGTCGCCTGTGTGGGTCGGGCAATGTGTTTGCGTTGCTGAACATGTTGTTCCGCAAAGGCAAAGAGCTTCTTGATATTCAGTGTCATGGGTTGCAAAGTCGACAAAACCCACTGCTCAGTGGGCTCGGGATGAATCTGAGATATGGATAGTTCAAGCGCCCAAAGCTAGCTGACTCACTTTTATGACATTGGGAATTCGCACCCCACATCCCATCTCTTCGCTTGGATCGTGTGGGCAAGCACAGGTAGGCCCGGGAACAGTTGAGTGGATCAACGCCCATGCAGACCAGAAGGCAGATCTTGTGGAGTGGACAGAAATCGACATGTGCAAGGTTTGTCTCAGAAGCACAGACCTCAGGAGGCAGATCCGAACAGGACCCCGAACAGCAAATCTTCTTCCAACAGCAAACTTTCTTCAGGCACAAGTCTCAAAAAATTGTCGGCATAGACTCACACTTCTCACCGTCTTCACCATGCAGCCTCAGCTCGCCACGATGCGCTGCAGCGAGACGGAGACTTGCTAGCTGTAGCGCGAAACAGTGACCAGCTTCTTCAAAGTACAGCCATTCCCCACATGCAGAGCTTCATGAAGCAAAGTACCAGTCCTTTAGGAAGACTTGGGATTCCTGCAAGAATAAGCGTGCAAGGCCCCGTCCGATTGCATACAGTCCTGCTGCCATGCTTGCAACGAACATTAGTCGTGGGCAAGGTTAGAGTTTTGATCACACCAAGCTGGACTGAAGCCCAGGTTCCCTTTTGTGGGAAGCAACTCCTGAGTTTCGCTCTGCCCTGGGATAGTCAAAACATGAAACTCTGATCCTGGAACTGTCATGCGTTCAGTGAACACGCAGTGCAAAGTGCAAACTTTATTCTTTGCATGAGTTGAAATTGGTTTGCAACGGCAAGAGAATCCTAGTTTCACACGTCCCAGTATGTTCTTCGTGTTGCATGGTTGATTCACTCACAGTCAAGGACTTCAACATGTTATCATTGTTTGCAGACACACCAGGGGCTCGGCAAGATTGAAATGAATCCTCTTGATGCAAATGATAATGCAACAAGCACGATGTTGCAAGGTATCATAATGTGTGTACTGCCCTAATACCTTGGTTTTGCTGGATACGGAATATCTGAGACACCATTTCACGGAAGGTTTGTTGGGACTTGCAGGACGTACGGCAGTCTCCTGCAGTACAGCCCTACGCCTAAATGTTTGTTTACCTCCATTTCCTCAAGTGCTAGAATCTGCCACGCACGGCTTCCATGTGCAGATTCGCAGTTTGGCAAGGTGCGCTTGATTCGATGGAGGGAGAGTGGTATCTTGGAGCACAAGTACTTCAGCGGGTCAACCGTGCGCCAGGTTTTTCTTGTGCTATCTCTCCTCGCTGTTCCTGGCGCTTCGCAGTGGTGCCGGTGTGCCCAAAGTAGGCAGGGCCTCCAGGATACAATCTTGAGGCAGAGGCGCAGATGCCAGAGGCGGATGTTCAGTGAGACAGCTACGTTCTTTGGTGTTCTTTCAGGGCCAATTTGCTACCATTGCTGCAACCGAGTCTAGGCTTTCAATATCTTTTGAATGATGCATTGCACGATTCGTAGTGTGTGACCGAATACCTGGCACTGTCATATGGATATGGCTGGGGCGCGCACTTCTCCCTGCTCGACGTGTGAATGCTGGCTGCAAAATGTTGGCTGAAAACGCTGTTCATTTGCGATGATGCGGCGGTCACAGACACTTGGACAGTCAAGTTGTATGGGAGTTTGCAGCCGAGAACTCACCAAAACGAAGTCATGCTGTGCAAGCAGTTGCACCGATGTGATGCGCCAGGCAAAGAGGACCTGCCCCTTTGGCCGGAGCAGACCCTCTGTGCCGGGCGGCTTAGCTGTGGGTCATTTGCCACGAAGGATGTTCCCAGAAGTGACGGACCTGTGCCAATAAGCTGCATGCACCCTCAACCTACCCTCACAAATTGCAAATAATCTCAACATGTTCCAGCAATATCCTATTGTTCTGGCAGTGTGCGGGTCCAGATAGTTGTTATTATTGCAGAATTGAACACATTATGAGAAGCCTGCAAAGCGGATAAAAGGACAGACTTGTTAATGCTATAGTTACATGCCTGTTGTGTGCAAGTTTGCTGCATGTCACGATAGAATTCCTGTGCTGGCGGCAGACAAGGTCAAGGTCGCAAGCATGCATTCTTGCTGAAAGCCTTTTGCCCTTGAATTGAAACAATATCCTTCCACATAATTGTTTCTGTGATATGCGTAGTTTCGCACAACTAGAGATAGCGCACAGTTGAAGCTAAGGGTTTCAGAATGGTGAAAGAGCGACTGCTTAGTCTGTGCTTTGGTCTCGCTCAGGCACTCGAATATTTGAAGAAGGAAATCTCCCATGCGGATGCAATCAACTTGTTACTCCCCTGCAGATTGACACTGAGCCCAAACCACCTTTACTTGTGGAGGAATCTCCTTTTGCGGGCCCCTTTTTTGGGGTTCCATGCCAACTTGCAGAGCAGGCGCTACGCCCTATGATTCCAGACCAACGCAGCCACCGAACAATCTCAACCAGCCCGAAGCCAGCCAGTC